ATACTGTTCATACTTCTCCCTCCATTCTCATGAAGCCTCTTGCTTCATTGATTCTTTTTCTAATCACCTGAGACTGATTCTGTCTTTTTTGCTTAGGCTTTCCGTTTTCTCTAGGCATATTCTTCAAATATATGCTTTTCTTTATTTGATATTTATAACTACAGTAGATGTCGGAATATCATTTCAAATCATCAAAAACATGACATACAAATAATTAATGGACATATGTCAAAGATGTATTCAATCATTAATTAATGAAGGAATCACTTAGATGGCAAAATTGGTTCAAAATCTTTTTGAGAAATGCTATGTATAGGCATTTTTATAAAAAGAATACTAGACTAAGATTTCTAGATTAGTTACAGAAGTGCTTACTATGCTACCTGGCAATAAAACCATAACCTTTGGTGATGTTTTCTACCTGACAGGAATCTATGAGTTAATATGTTAACTTCGCTGTGTTTGGGTTCTAATCAAATATTAAATTGCAAAATCAAACTCAAGTGAATTCCTCCGGAGACTTAGTAATCCTTGAGTGAGCTTGTTAAACCATGCTCTATTACGACATCTGAAGGACTTGCTGTATTCCTTCCTGACATCCAAGTCTTGAATAATTTTTCTTAACAATATACTTGACTATTACAAATACTTGACTTACTCAAATAGATAGGTGCAGCTTGTTAAGTTCATGAAGGCCTCTTCCACATTTGTGAGTAGAGGTTGTACAGTGAGGCAGAACAGATACCCAGTAGGTAACTTTATGTGCGATTTCCAGCCGATCATAACCTTTCTGTTCTTATTTTTCTGTACTGGAGTAAGTTGATCACTAAAATCCCTCCTAATTTTAAAATATTGTAATTCTTAAAGAATGAGATTATGAAGAGCAAAATACCGTGGGCCTTTAGCCAGCGTGTGGATTAGGCAACAGTGCCCCCTAAAGGTCTTCCGTGAGTTCTGGGCAGGCCAACCTTCAAATTATCCTACGATGTTTGAGGAACGTCCTCTCACAATAGGTTTGGCAGAGCTTCCCATCAGGATCCTTGATTTAATTAGTTTGTGTATATTATCTATTGCCACGATAATGCTGCATAACAAGCAACCACAATACTTCTGGAACATACAATAAATGTTTAGTTTTGCTCTCAAGTCTGTGGGTCAACTGGGAAATTCTGTTGACCTTCATTAGGCTTGCTTGCACAGTTCATTTGCTCTTAGCAGGACAGACCTGTGTGTCTAGTGTCAGCTAGCTGTTGAGTGACCTAGGATAACATCGCTGGGACAACTGGCTCTGCTCCAGATGATCTCTCACCTCTAGGACTCCAGGCCCGTTTTTATCATATGGTGGCCATGTTTCAAGAGAGAGTGGAAACGAACAAGAACTCTTGAGGATAAGACTTGGAAATGAGACAGTGTCCACCACAAATGGTTGGCCAAACATAGTCATAAGGCAGGTTGTTGGAAAATAGACTCCATCTCTTGATGTGGGGAAAGTGTAAACTCACATTGCAAAGGGCATGGATATGGAGAGAGATGATAAATTGGTGCCATTTTTGTAACCAGTCTGTCATATAGAACATGATTCACAGGATTTCAGAAAGTTCCAGAAGGATACTGGTCTAGAGGGAAAGAAGAACTTAAGTATTCTTGCACTTTTTTCTCGGATGCAGATAAGTTACTTGGAGTCAGTTTGATCTTTTCCATCTTGCTCTTAAAATTCATTAGGTAGGACCAGAGCGGTGTTTAGGGCTATGCTGCTGAGGCAAGACTGTTCTGAGTATTCTAACAAATGATGCATAAATTTGACATTTTTCAGTCCAGCGGGTGAGAACATGAACTATTCCTGGCTTTGTGTGAGCATCAGGTACTATTTCCTCGAATCATTTCAGGTGGTTCTTTCTTTGGCCTTGGTAATTGCCTTACACTCATAAACTGATCTGTGCTTAGCGAAATATTCAGTGAAAACGCTCTTCAGATTTTTGGAGTTCTCTTTGTGTTCATTGTTCTCCTCTCTGGCACTGTGTGCTATGAGCTCCAGCCACCTGGGTCTCCCCAGACTCTCGGCTCCATCTCCTCAATTCGGGGAGTCTGATATTTTTTTCTCGGGTTCTCCTTTTCTGCACCACAGCATGAAAACTCTCTCAAGGTGGTTTCTTCTCTCAGTGATTACAGTCCTATGTTGTCCAATGCCCAGTGCTCTAAAAAAAAAAAAAAAAAACAAAAAACAAAAACCCAAACAGTTGTTTTGTTGTATATTTTGTCCAATTTTTTTGGTCATTTCAGGAAATCTTTGCTTCATTTTGGCTAGAATTAGAAGTCTGTTATTTCATTTTGGCCAGAATTGGAAGTCTCCAATCCATAGAACTTAGTGTCAGGAAAAATGTGGATTTCTACACATCATGGACAACCTAACTTTCAGTGAAAGAAGACAGTATGCTGGTACAAGATTATAGTAAAAAAATATATATATTTCTTTCCTGTTTGTCTAATTCATCCTTTTTTACTCTCTTCCCTTCTCAGAATATGTAACATTTTGTCACAGTTTGGTTCTTCAATGTATTTTACTTTTTGTTATAGTTCTGATGGTATCCTGTGTGAGTATGTATCTTACCTTTCCAATGATACTATATGCTCTTTTAACATTAGGGATATATCTTACCCTTCTTTATATTCTTCACCATGTGTATCACATTTTTAAATTAATGTTAATCAATTAATTATTATCCTTATCTGTAAAAAGAGATCCAAAATCTAATGATTAAATTAGGTGGTTTTGGCTGGGTGTGGTGGCTCAAGCCTGTAATCCTAGCTCTCTGGGAGGCCGAGGCGGGTGGATTGTTTGAGCTCAGGAGTTCGAG